GTCCGCGCGCGTTCGCGTTTGGAGTGGGGGGAAAGGGGAATTTACCGGGGAATTCACGGAAATTCCCGGGGTTCCTCAGCCGCAACAGGCGAGGAAACGCACAATGGCGAGGGAGCGCTGTGCAAAGAAACTGGCCGTGTTGTAACAGCGGAACTTACTCGTCTTGCACCCGAGGATGGAAGGAGCCGGGGGCACTAAGCCCGGCTCGCTGCTGTGGTTTCCTATAGCCTCCTATAGCCCTTCCTGCTCCAGAGAGCCGTAAGGGAGCTGGAACGTAGCCGTGCTGCTCCACAGTGCATTAACAGCTCCAGGCTCTTACAGTCGAGTCTGTGCTGCTGGTGCTGGTTTTGTGCCGAAAATGAGGGGAATATTCGAAAAAATCAGGTGAGCTGAGGAGTGAAGCCTTTTTTTCAGTTCTCTCCTTTGAAAAGTGGGAGAGGATGAAAAGAAAAGGAAAAAGAAAAGAGAAAAGAGAAGAAAGAAAAAAAAAAAGAAGAAAAAAGAGCCGCCTAGCGAGCAAAAGGTGGAAATTGTCCAACAAGTGGCTGTGGGGCCCTGCGGGTTTCCTTCATTTAGGGAAAAGCTCCCCAAATACTTTATATGGCATTTATTGGGAAGTGGCCAATATACCCTTGGCAGCACTGCAGTGCCTTCACCTGGATGCATAAAACTGAATAATTTTGCAAATAAGCCAAAAGAATTGGCGGTCAGATATGTCAGGTTTCAAATAGAAGTGATCTCAGTAAATTGCTGTTTTTAGAATGATAGATCATTAGCTTAAAGGCCGCTGAATAATTTTGCAAATAAGCCAAAAGTATCGACGGTCTGATATGTCAGGCTTCAAATGGAAGTGATCTCAGTAAATTACTGTTTTAGAATCTACTGTTTAGATTATTAGCTTTAAAGGCCAGTGGAGCCCTTATGAGGTCTGAGCTACAGGGGAATCAGGGGATCTCCACTGAAATATTTGGGAAAAGTGAAGAGGATTTGGAACACTGCGTTGTGGTGCAGCAGGAACGCAGCCCACGGGTGCAGCAGGGGCTCGGATGGGTCGGCTCTGCCTTCCTCCCAAATAGCAGCTGCGCCTCCAGCTACCGGGGCCAGACAAGTCTTCCTCCTCCTCCATTTCAGGATGGAAACCAGGACTATCCATTAGGGATAACTGCTCATGCAGCCGGATGTTCCTTTGGAGGCGTTGGTGGCGGCACGGTATTCCAGATGTCACCGCTTCCATGCCAGCAGTGGCTGGTTGGTGGTGGAGTCCTCTTTTTTTAAAAAAAAAAGAAAAAAGCATCAGCCCCAAGCAGTTGTTGCAGTCATTTTTCTTTTCGGTTCAGCTTCAGATTTTCCTCTCCAGCCACAGTAAAACTCATGATGATTTATCAGACTCCCCTCACCTGGGCCAGAGGGCATAAAAAACCAGCGCTCCCATCACTCCCTGGCCATGGAGCTCCCTGACAACAATGGAAAACAAAAAGGATGTAAAAGGATGGAGCACAAAGGTGGTGCCCAAGGAAAACCGCAGGAAACTGCCAACCAGCCCATCATCTCACCACGTGCGATTCTTTTTTAATACTATGAAATGAAAGATTTTAACTAAAAAATTGAATTTGGTAAGCTGCCGCCAACAACCTTAGGCTTTAAAGGCTGTGGTAAGCGATGGGCAGGTGCTCGACCCTGGCTTTTTACCAGCTGCTGGTTGAACAGGAAGGATATTTTATCAGTCTTTAAAAATACAGGTCTTTATGCCTGTTCTGTGCTATGTTCTGTGGCAATGGAGCAACCTCCTCCTCTAAAACTGGCTTCTCTGCTTCAGCTGCAGGGGCTAAGAGAAGTAAAAAGCCAAATTACCGTCTGCTTTACGGGACATTTTCCCTGCAATGGAGCAACCTCCTCCTCTAAAACCGGCTTCTCTGCTTCACTGCAGGGGCAAAGAGAAGTAAAAAGCCAAATTGCCATCTGCTTTACGGGACATTTTCCCGGATTCAGGAAAGTTTCGGCAAACTGAAAACGAGACCTTTGCCCATCGAATGCTACCAGCACCTGGACTCTGCTCCATGGAGGCCGGGAGAGCGCAAGGAGCAGGCTGGGAATGTCCTGGGAATGCACCGGGAACGCTCCGGGAGCGCAGCGCAGCGGGGAGCGCGCTCCTGAGCTTCCCCTGCCTTGTGTTGGTTAAAATTTAACTGGAGCATGCTTGTTCCGTACGCATTTTGGGTTGAAAAGCCTCCATTTTGATGCCTTAATTCACGTATTGGCTGGCTTCTGCTGCACACATATGCTAAAGGCTGTATTGCATTTCCATCCTTCTGTATAGCAGGATTATGAAGTATATAAGTTTCAGTATGAATATACGTGAAGCATTTAAATTATTTATGAATAAAACGTACACATTTGTAAAAGCAAAACCATCAGAAACATCCTTAAGTTACATATAATGTATTAAAAAAACAGACGTACAAAACCATACCATAAAAAAGCCCAGTTGCCCATCTCAGAAACAAACTGCACTCGTTTCAAATGCATTTACTGCTTTAAAGCTTTCAAGCAAGAAATCAGAAGAACTTACACCTGCACAACAGCACTGCCTTGCAAAGGCGACGCTTTTCTCTTCCCCGGAAAGCGCTGGCTAGCTCAGACTCCCAAAACTTCATGGTTTTAGTGTATTTGCAGGACAAACAAGGTGGCTTTGGGGAGAGCTTTGGGAATGGAGCTCAGCAGGTCTCTTCAGCAGCGCCTTAGAGCAGATTGACTTCCTGAAAGTGATTTGCAAAAGAATCTGGGTGCTGCAGTAGCATGTTTTGTTATAACATGGAATAGCTGTATTCAGGTAATACAGAAAAAGCCCTAGGAATCTTTTTTTGCTTTGGCTTAACAACAAGCTATTAATTCAGGATTCAGATTTCACAAGGAAAAAACAAAAAACAAAAACAGAAAAGTGAATAACTAGCTGACTGCAAATTCTCCAACTTTGGTTTCAGTTTTGCACATGGTTTTAGATCTGAAACCATGTCATTACTATCTCCTGTTTAAATCAATCTGGCCAGAAGAAAGTCAGATATTACAGTTTATAGCCTCAGAGTCCAGGGCAGGGCTTTTCAGCATTGCTACCTTTACTTATCTGCTATGTCATTAAAAGGCAGGAGTATTTACAGTATTTCTTTATCCCTGGAGAGTACTTGAGCCAGAAACCAGCGTGTCGCTGGGGTCTGGGCTGCAGAGGACCTGTGGAGCTGAAGCCCCTCAGTGAGAAGGAATTCGTGATCATTGCACCTGTAAAACAGCCGGTGCTTTTAGGGAAGTTTTCAAGTAGAACTTCAGAAAAGGAAAAAAATAACAATAATGAAAAAATAAAGACTAGGAAAAAGTTCTGACTGCAAAAAAAAAGCAAGAAGGGGCCAGAACATCCCCACTGGGAAGGAGGAAGGAGGCCCCAGCGGGCCGGGAGGGAGGGATGCGGCGGGAGGAGGGAGGCGGCGGGAGGGAGGCGGGAGCGGGCGCTGCGCGGACGGACGGACGCACGGACGGACCGTGGCTGTTTTGCCGTAGCGATAGCAACTCCTGCTCTCCTGGCCAAAGTTCGGCTCCTCCACGTTTTTATTGCCGCGGCGGTTTCCGGGGCCAGGCGGGAAGGACGGGCGGACGGACGGGGGCCCATGTGAGGAGGAGGCGATTCCCCGGCAAAATGCCGTCGCGGGAAAAAACGCTCCTGTTCGCCGGCGCCTTCTGCACCAGCGCGGGCTCCTTCGTGCTGCTCTGCGTGGTCCTCGCCACGCGCTCCTGGGTCACCAGCGACATCCGCTTCTCCCAAGCCAACTCCTCCGTGACCGTCACCGTCACCTACGGGCTCTTCCAGGGCACCTGCGAGCAGACGGTGACGGGCGGCCTGCAGATCTCGGAGAGCCCCCTCCAAGGTAAGTGGTGCTGCTGGGCCCTAGGACCCACGAATGGCCACGAGCCCCTCGGGGAATTCGAGTGGGATAAGGATGAGAGCCAAAAAACAAAGTACCAGAGTGCCACGGAGCTCTCGCCAGCAACGACATGCAATTCCGAGCAAGGAAATCCTGTAAAATAATAACTTTGTGCACAGGAGGCTTGAGCTTCAAAATCACTATGGAACAGAAAAACGCTCATGCCCTTTTATTAAAGGGTTTCAAACCTAATGCAACTTCCAGAACTTACATTTCATTAATTGAGTAATTAAACATCGTGCTTTAGGTCTACATGGTGTTTATCTATGTGGCTTATGTATGTGCTGGACATAGACACCAGAACAAATAAAGTGACCCTTTTATTTTCTCCTTTGAGCGTCCCGTTGCCTCGGGCCATGGCTGGTTTTCTGGGGACGGATCCAGCGCCGGGGGCCCTGGCACGGCCATCACACAGATTTTAATTGCAATTAGTGGGAAGCGCTCACAGAGCGCTGGCAGGAGGGCAAGTGTGCCGCTCTTTGCATGGGTCACACGCATGGAATTTTGTGGGGGGGTTGTCCCCCTTTTTTTTTTCTTCTCCAAATGTAGGTCTCTGTGCTTATCATTTGCTATTTCCCTTCAGTTCTCACATACAAACCGTTGAGAGATGAACAAAACAGGAGGGTTTAGGGGTGCTAGCTGCTTTCAGCAGCTGCTGCAAGAAAAGCAGGCTTTAAAGAGAGCCAAAACAGGGATTTGCCCCTCTCCCGTGGTTAAGCTCATTTATATCCGAGATAAAAGGAACCAATTTTACACCAGTGCTTTTATTAATGGCAATAGGCAAGTAGATTGGCAAAAGCCCTCGCAGAGACAATAACTTGCTATCTTGGATACCACGCCGTTAAAAGACATTTCCAAGCGTAAAGATAAAAGGCGAACAGAGGAATACAGTTTCTGCAGGTTTACGGAGCATGAACCACCTAATCGAGGTAGCCTCTTATGATAGACTGCTATTAATGAACTTAATAGGGTAATAAATCAATACGGCTGCATTGGAGGCCCTGGAGATGAGCAGAGTGGCCTGGAATAAATTAAAAGTTATTTAATAACTTCTAATAAATAACTTTAGTCCTTGAGACCCAATTATAATTAAATATGACTCATAAGTGATCCTAGGCCTTGTTGCCAAGGCTGCTTAGAAAATAAGACCTCAAGGCTGGGAGCCTGGAGCTGCTCACATTCAAGTCAGTAAAAGTTTGGGAAATTATATATGATTGAAGAAGAGTTAAGGGTGATTGGAGACAAAAAGATGATGATACAGGAGGATCAATACTCTGCTTTCATCCCCTCATATTCGTTTTACCGATTGAAGAGGATTACCTGCTCATGGGTTTGCACAGAGCGTGTTCAAGCGGATCAGCTATTCTATACACCTTGTGTTCACACACTGACCACTTTAATTGGAAAATAAAAATCCGCCCGCACAAACCCAGCATTTTCTGCAGGCCTTTGGAAAGGCCTCGAGATGCTGCTTGCGACAAGGGGAGGCTGCTCGGATTCCTGCCCTGGGTTTTGTCCAAGACAAACAAATAAGATGAGTTAGGGGGTAAAATAGGTGCAATAGATTCAACTAAGTCCAAAGATGCTCTGGGTGATAAAACTGTGGAAGGCGGATGCGGAGAAGCTACACAAACCCATTGCTTTCAAATGCAGACAATTTATTTCCTTATTTCCTTGTTTCTGGACCTGGGCGATGCCCGGGCTGCCTGGAGCAGAGGGCAGCTGGGGCTGGGCTCGCATTTAACTTAGTGGCATCTCCCAAGTGCCTCCCTGCTCCCTAAATTTGCATTTGGTTTATATAACACTTCCTCATTTGCTGGAGCAGCAGTTAATGGATTCTCCATTTCCCGGGATAACATATAAAACGAGAAGGAAGGTCTCCTCCTTTCTTTCCAATAGCTCTTCTTTCAGCTATGAGAGCTTATTTTCTTTTTTATAGCTGCTTATTATTTTTGCTGATGTTACTTTTACTGCTGCAGTTTCTCCAGTTTATGCACCAGCAACCCTGCAGTAACAGCCTGGTACTAAAGCAGCCCAGAAAGGAACTTCTCCTCGCAGAGGGCTGTTTGACTGGAGCAGGAAGGCCCTGTCACTGTATCTGTGGGATTTAGGCAAAAACAGTCAAAGTGATTACAGTCCTGCTGGGATTGGCTGTATGTGCCATGTATCTCTGGTGATCCATGCCTACAGGTACAGAAACCCAGCAGACTCCACTCTGCACACACACGTTGCAACGCGCTGGGTCCGAAAGGGAAGGTGTTGGGATGCTGGATGTGAAGATGCCCAAGTTGGCCATGTGTGGTCTCCATCCTTCCTTTCAAAAGAGGGGAGGACGAGCCACCTCTACTGCTATTTATGCAGGGTGTGAGCACTAGCTCAGCTATCAACCAGGTCCCAGTTTGTTTCTCCATGAAGGACCAAGCCAAATCTTCCATTACTATTTTGTATTCACAACCAGTCAGCTGTCCCCAGTCATCAGGTCTCCAAGGGCACTGGAGCACATAGCCTTTCCTCTTTGGGTTTGCTCCATGCAGGTTAATGATTCACCCCAAGCTCCTCTCTTCCAGTCACCGAGACGCTGAAAAACGCTGAAACAAGAGCCACGAACGTGGCCATCATCGTGTTGCTGGTCCTGGCGCTGCTGAGTTCCCTGCTGAGCGCCGGCTTCACGGGCATGAATGTCGTGAGCAATCCCTACCAGACCTTCCTGGGACCCATAGGTGTCTATACCTGGAATGTCATCAATGGTGAGTCACCAGCATTGGGCCACCACACATGGCACAGCCCATGTGTCCCAGCATGCACAAACTCAGTGTATGGAGCTACCATACACAGCGTTGACCCCAGGAGGGACCAACTCCCTTGCCAAGGACACAACTCATCTGTGACCATGTCTAAGGCATGACTCATTTCATTGCAGGAAAAGGAGTCCAAATTGGGACAGATTGAGTCCAAACTAGGACAGTTCAAATCCTAGACGCGGCCCACTCTCTCCAATGTCTGTGCTTAGTTATAGATGCTTGGGTCAAAGAGGATGAAGCTCATGCAGGGTCCCCTGACCACCGGTCACCCTGGCCTTTCTCACCGTTGACCACCTACCCACCACATGCAGGAATATGAAGTTCTCCCAGATGAATGAAGAAATTCATGTTTAAAAAAAAGGAAACCTTTGGAAAAGTAGCCTTCTTCCAGCCAATTTGGGTTTTCAAACTCGTGTCTGCTGGGATACCTGAAGACACAGTGCCTTTTAAGCACTGCTAGAACTGTATTCCTTGCTTTAAGTGAAGCCGTCAATCAGTAAGAGCTGGCAGGGAAAATGGCAGTGAGAAAGGCCCAACAGCTGTAAAATCATTTAATGCATGGTGCTACACACCAAGAATAAGCTGAAAAAGTACAAGATTAAAACAGAGTAGAAAAATATATGTGTTGGGTAGGACCATGGGACAAATTCTAAGCTTTCTAAGAATCTACATCACCATTCAAAATACTACCATTTTGTGGTGTTTGTTGTTTTATGGTCCTGGGTTGCCTACACACCACATCTGCCCTTTAAGATCTAATCTACAGGATGGATACTTAGACCTATTTCTGTGTCTGAAAACAAGCAGTGAGCACTCAGCTCGTCTCGAGAGGATCACATTTCCCTCTAATGCTGGGTTGGCACTCAGGAAACTTGCTTTTTTCAAAGCACCTGATTGCTGAGTGGTCCTGAACTGCTGCCGTGTCCATCGGCCTCACCTTGAAGCCACCTCTGAAGCCCCCATGGGATGGGACCCTTCCCACAGGCTGGTCCTGGGGGCCTCCGACTTGCTCTAGTGGGAAGGGAAACATAAACCACAACCTCTGGATGGGGAAGAAAGGATCAAATACTTGCAAAAAAAAAAAATGCACTAACAGGAAAGCAGACCCCATGCATTGAAGGAGTATTATGGCTTCTTTTTACAACCCCATTAAGTGCTCTGACCTGGAAGTTTATTTAACCAGGGGCATATCTGCATGGAAAAATTATGCATTGCTTGCTGCGTGGCTGTATCTTGAAGGCTCTTAATTTTCACACCAAAGAGCTGACAATGACACAATGTCCTTCTTGCGAAAAACGGAGCCTGTTTCAGCAGAATTGGTTGTAGGACCCTATACCTGGAGGGAAGAAAAAGAAAAATTTTCATGGATGTGCAACAACTGTACCTCTGTCAGCACCATGAAAACACATAAAAGCATTATTTAGCTAAATCTCAAAGTAACAGGCTGTGGGAAATAGAGAAGAATCTAAAAGGTCTTCTCGTTTAGACAGCTCAGAGTCCTTGGAGGGTTCAGATTGGAGCTCAGGTCAGCCCCAGAGCAGGGTGAGCCCTCTGTTCAGACCAGATTGCTCAGGGTGTTATGCACCTGCGTACCCCACCGACATGGATTCATATCAAATAGGCATCCTGCAAGTGACCTAAGGGGAGAATGTATTACACACATCAGCAGCAAAAAAAAGCTACATTAAATAGCCTTATCTAAGAAAAATCAATGTGAATCCACTAATTTTGGCAGGTCATAGAAATAGCTACTTATGTCACAACGTATGCCAGATACTGCCAGATACATTCCTTAATTATATCCATATTTTATTAACAGAAACATGGCAGATTCCTCTGTTGTAGTCCAGGCATTGAAGCTGCTTCAACCAGAATACTTTTGCTTACAGGAAGCTACATAAATAATACTGCATTTCCCCCTTTAACATTGGCTCTTGTGTTTTCCAGGGATCCTCACGCTTCTAGTCCTGATCCTTTTTGCGGTGAACATAGAAAGGAACCGCCTCTCTGTAGAACTGGCTGAGGTTTGCTACACAATTCCAACAACGTACATGAATTCGAAAAACACATATGGATATTCATATTGGATCATGCTGCTTATCATTTTCTTGAACATTGCTACTATTATCATCATATATTTCTATGACCACGCGAGGTATTATAAGAAGAAAGAACAGGAAAGACCCATTGAAAATGCACCAAAAGATGTCATTCTGTTTTAAGGATATTGACTTCCTCAACAGAAAGAGACTATTTATGTGGGCAATGACGGCCAATCATTTGCAGATTGAAGCTGCGTGTATAGTTCAATTAACAAAATAGCCGATCGTGTCTCCAGAGCACATTGATTTCCTTTGTAACGCTGGGTATTAGTGTAATGCCTATAGGTTTCCATCGACATGCCTCAGAGCAGGAGCTACTCACAGGAGCACCTCTCAGGAGGGATGAATCCCACGCACCTCCCGGTTTCCAGGGAAGCTCTGGAAGGGATTTGCTAGCGGAGCCAAGGGCTGGCAGAGGGGATGGGACACTCGGAGCCTCCATAGCACAACAGCAGGAGGGCTTGGGATGAGCTCTCCTCCATCCCCTGCTGCTGTCCCTTGGCTGTGGGTCAGGGCAGAGCCAGCCCTGCTCCCAGCCCCGCAGCGCCGGTTCCCATCTCCCGGATCCTGGGCTTTCCAGGCATGGCGGGACGTCAACACGGGCGTCACACGAGGGCATTTCTGCCTCCTCCCTTGGGCCCAGCTGCAAAGACCAAAGCTACCCTTTTGATTGTACATAATTTGGGATCATAAAGGACCAAAATAGTGCAAATGCCAGAGATCTTGGAGGTTACGAGAAATGATCCCAGAGGTAGGAATGGTTCTTTTGGCCCTGCAATCCTCCCTGCTATTGCTCACCCCATGTGTAGGGGTCCCTTCCTGCACTTTGTAAGCCCAAGCTGGTCTCCTCTGGCAGCAGGAGGATGGGAATGACCTGTGCAAGGTGGAAAAGAGTCTGGGAGCAGCATGGGCGATTATTAACTCGTAGCAACATTAACAAAGTCCTCTCTCAGCCTATTTATAGGCTCTGGATTGGTGTCATTAGCAACACCGTAAAGCTGCACCTTGAGCAGGCGTGGTGGCCCTGCACGCTGCCTTAGGTCATCGCTTGCCCTGACACTGGGTTTCTTAGCACTGTTTTGTAGCCAAATCCGTCACCTTCAGGTCCATTTTCATTAATAAACGTATGTGTGGAGGATGCTCGTGAGCACACCCAGCCCCAGAGATCCCTCCTGGTCCCCACTGGGGAAAGGAGCCCGTGGGTGCCACCTTCCCTCGCATGAAGCCATGGCCAGGCCACACATCCCAGCAGCAGCAAAGCCACCACGGGGCGGTCCCCGACCCCTCCTGCCTCTCATCCTGGCGTCCGTAACACCGAGTTTTCGCCATGCAAGTTTCCCTTTCTGGAATGATTTCACCGTGTTGCTCAGCGGGAGGTGAAGCAGCAGCTCGGATGGAGGACCGGGAAGATAGGCAAAGCGGCAGGTTAAAAAGCAAAGAGGGTCTCTACATTTCCAGGGGGAGGAGGGCCAATAAAATAAGAGGTGTGATTCCCTCCCTGCAGACCTGCAGACGCCTTGCTCTGCTGTGAGCGTTTCAGTCGAGTGTCGGGTGTTTTGCAGGTGGCAGCCAAGCACCCATGGCCTTTGCTGTGGCTGCAGAAACATTCGCCTGGTCACAGCGCAGCCAGAAAACACAAACGGTCCACTCTAACATGAAGCTCCTGGCTCTTAAATATATATATTTATATATATTTCTCAAGATGGCTCCAAAACCATGACTTTTGTCCCAATGGGAGGGTGGTGGGTTTGCAGGGGGGTTGAGTGCGGAGCTGTGTGGGAGGGGACTGCACGGGAAAGAGCGTTGATGTTTTAGAGCAGAAAAGGCCAAAACAGCAAAGCTGGGGCAGCCCTTGGGTAACTTCAGGGCACAAAAGCAGCTGCTTCCCACTAGGCCTCCAAGCGGGAACTGGACCAGGACACTGTCCAGGACGGGCCCTGACCTCTCTGCTCGGGACTGCATCGCAGCTGGCAAGTGTTTGGGAAGAGAAAAAAAAAAAAAAAAAAAAAAGGAGGAGTTTCCCTTTTTCTAGTAGTTTGGCTCTTGCGAGCCTGCCAGACTCTGCAATGAATAGAGCTGTGTTCAGCGCTCATCCTCCTAATGAGGATCCTGGCACTCACCCTGGGGCAGCAAGAGAAGAGAGGGTTTGTGCCACCAGCCTGCTGCGTGCTTGCAAGGGACAGACCGAGCTCCCGACTAACTGAGCACTGGGTAATTTTACACCTTCATGCGAGCTGGGACTTCAGGGCTAGAGAGGCCTTATCCCTGAAAAATCCTGCATCCCAAGGAAATCGGTGCTTGTCTGCAGCATTAGCAGCAGGCAGCACTGAGCAGCACCCCAGCTGCAAGCTTCCGAGCACGCAAACGCCGGTGTTTTGATCCAGGCATTAACCACGTTATTGCAGAAAAGAGCAGCGGGCGCAGAGCGGGATCCATGGAGCTGGCAGCGCTTGGACGAGGGATCCCCCCTCTTGTTCTATTTAAAATCCTCCGCTTGGGGCAAGATCGTCAGAATTAGCAATCGATGCTCGAAAGCGAGCGCAGCACCAACAGCACCGCAGTTATTAGCAGACTATCAGAGTTAAAAACAAATGTTTGCTCGTGAGCACTGCATGGCTGCACTGGTGCACACGTTTCATCCCCAAACAAAGCTGTGAAGAACTGACCTCTGCCTTAGTCCCTGCCTGAGCAGCCTCACCGTCTGCAGCTCAGGAGACTTCCCTTTGCATGAGGGACAAAGCAAAGTTAGCCATTTTACCACACAGTGAAAAAAAAAAAATCAGTGATACAGAAATACAACCTGAACTGGAAAAGCAGGCTTAGTGACAGTGAAATGTGTCACCCGACAGCTCCTCCCTTCCTTTCCATGACTCACCCTTTAAAACATTTCCTTTAAAGCCACAGCCCAGCTGGCAGGCTGGCCCTGGAAGCGCTGCCCGCAGCACCCAGGCCAAGGGCTGCAGGTGGGGACACGCTCGTGCCATAAGCAGCAGTGGGAACGCAGTGTGTCCCCACTGTGCCGAGCTGCCCCGGCGTCCCCAGCTCCGCTCCCCTCCAGCACCGCAGCATCAGGGGGTGCAGATTCCCAGGAGGAGTCACTCCAGGACGTGCAGCTCCTTTTGGCTGGGCAATAGTCACGCTGGCAGATACGTACGTGCCCAGCGTGGTTCCAAATCTGTAAAACGGGCTGCAGACGGGCAGCAAGGCAGAGACGGGCAAGGGCACGGAGCAGACCTTGGCCGCGCATCGTCTCCGTTGAGCTTAGCTGCAGGGACACCATCCCCAAAGCAATATCGGTACCCAGCGTTCATCTGCTTGTGGAGATCATCCTGAGCAGGCACGTGAGCTGCTGGCAAAATATAGGCAGATACAGCCGTCTTTTTGCTGGAAATCGTCTAATCGCCGGATCTGGCACAAATGATGCAGGTAGCCATCGGGATGGGCATGCATTGAAATATTGCAGGTCAGGTAAAGAGCCCAAAAAATCTCTCCTATAGGAAACAGGCCCAGGAAGTGAGGAAAAGGCAGGCCTTGAGACTGGCATTAGCGGAATACCTGGAATCCCATTTCCCTGCTGACCTGTGCCATGTGCCAGACCTGCGCTGGGAAGCCAAGCGGATGCTCCCTGCTGCTATTCCACCTTCCTCCTGGCTGTTTACCCAGGAAACCATAAGAGGGCAGCAACCACCTTCCCAGGCAGGAATATCCCTTTATTTTTATTTATTTATTTATTTCCCGATTGAGGAGTGAGAAAGAGAAGCACTTTCCTAGCTGCTCATTGCAGAAAGTGCAAGACAGGCACCACTTGACAGCACCAGCGCTGCCTCTGCAGGCATCAGATCCGTCTGTGGCTGCAAATGCCACCAAAGATGGGTGATATCCTGATGGCAAGCACTTCAAAGGAAAAAAATGGTTACTTCAATAAAGCTGCAGCTTAATTTACTAAGGTGCCTTGGATTCAACATTGACATTACCTTCATCTGGTCATACATAAAACATGCATCTCTGTGCGTGCCCCCTGTAGAGGCCCTGTCTAGCCTTCGTACTGAAGCCTAAGGTTTTATACCTAAGATTTCATGGTAAGGAAAAATAATACATATGTAGTTAATAAAATTATGTTATTTCCTGTGCTTCAGAGTCCCATCATGTAGGGTTTTGCTGTCAAAAAAAAAAAAAAAAAAAAAAAGCCTCAATGCTTGAAGTACCTATAGAAGTTAATTATTGCTCCTAAGCTGGAAATGGCACAAAAAGAATTTCCAAGGACAATGTAAAAACATTTCATCACATACCTACCTCTAACAAGTATGTGTGCAGACATTAATGTGTATATTTATATTCTTCAGATTAAAAAAATAAGATAAACGTATTCAAAGTCCATGAAAGAGGTGGGCAACATTTGCTGTTGCTCTGTGCACACCATTAAGCTGCTCAAGAGTAAGACCTAAAAAACCTGTGCTAGAGCAAATCAGGAAGGAAATTCCTTTCCGTCAACACATGGATCAAACACAATAAAAAGACAGCATAAAATTTGTTATCAAGACAGTAAATCTTTCAGCAATTTCATACACCTTCAAAAATAAGTTAGAGCCAACCACAAGAGACTAACCAGAGAGATGGAGTTGTCAGAGGTGGAGACACAACTGGGGAGAGAAATTCTAAACCTCTCCTACAGCTATTTTGCCAATACTCCGTCACATAAATTTCTTTTAAGCATCTGAACCCAGAAGGCTTCCCCTGTGAGGGGAAGATCCAAGACCTCATTGTATCCAGAAATAAGAAAGAAAGGGTCCTTCCAGGGCCAGCATCTTGGTGCCGATAGCCAAAGTGGTGGCTCTGCACCCGGTAGCAATCTGGACTCCCTTGTCAAACCCTTTTCCATATCTTTATGTTCTTCCCAACTTAGAAGATGGAAGCAGAGCTACTGAAACCCATCTTCTCCTCTCCACTTGTAGCTTCTATAGCTTACTGTGCTGGGAAAACCACCTCCAACTTGATGCAAAGCAATCGGAAATGGGAAAGAGGGGCACTTTCCTTGGCTCAGCGGGCTTGGATCGGGTTGTGAGCACATTAACACGACAATGAAGTGGGTCTCTTAGTGTTTACCCTGTAAGCACAAGCAG